TAGTGTCTGCTATAATGTTAGTGCTGTTTTCTTGTGTTTACATGGTGAATATGGCCACTGTGATAATGCACAGTACAGTTATGATCTAATCACCACATTATATCGTGATGATAACATGATATCTGCCTTCAGCAGTCGCCATCGCCTCATCTCACATGCAGCAGGAGCTGGTGATGACGTATGATGATGTGTGCAGTTTAATGCAGACTCACTGTGATTATTGTAGTTCTCTGCTTCTGTTTATTATTATGGTTGTTTATTAGCTAAATGTTAATAACCGGCTGGTTAATGGTCGGTTTAAGTAATTATAATCTAATTCAATCCTGCTGATCATCTTAAAGATGTCTGAGGAGTAAATCACACCTCAGAAATACAGCAAACGCATAATGGAGCAATAGTATCTGGATGCAGCTTTTATGATGCAAGCTGAGACTGCATCGCTCAGACACAATGCACTCAGTGGAGTGAGTGACGTCACTGTGACGGGTAGGGTTAGGGGCGGGGTTAGGTGAGCGCATTATAAAGCATTGGATGCAGCTCAGATTGCACTGCACCAGGTCTGCAGCCAGACCCATCTCTAATAGAGCCTGCTAATGACTGGTTACTGAATAGTAATTAATTTACCCATGAATGTAAATTTGCTCAGTATGATATGATGATAGAGCTTTATGAACACTAATGAAGACACTGCTGAAACCGGTAACCATTGACTTATACAGTAAGATGTACAGTGCAGTACTCCATTCTGAATATGTTCCTCCATTTCTCAGTGAATATAGGCGATGTGTTTCAGTGTGTTTGAACAAAACAGATTTACTTAACAGATATTTATTAAAATTATATTTTAGTGACCAAACATCTTTAGAAATTCAAAGACAATGTGATTACATTTAAGCTAAATATTGAAATACATATTAAACCTACAAAATATCCACTAAATTTCTCCAGTTTTTTGTTTCTCTTGATTTTTCCTCCTTTTTTAATGTGTATTTAATATTTTCTGTGTCGTATACATGTGTCTGTGCTAGTGTTTGGAGGGTTATCGTCAGATTTGGCTTCAGCACTGACTAATCTACTGTATATGCACACATATAATACTGCAGAGCTGTGAGATGTGTGAGGGCTGCACTCACTCATATTCGCTGTGGAAGTCGATGGTTACCGGCTTCTGTCTGTGAGTGAGTGACTGATGATGACGTATGAAGGTAAATCTGTTGCGTAACTCGAGAGCTTGCAAATGTAAATGTGAGCACTTGTGATAATAATATTTGTATGTGTAGGTTGAAATGTACACTTACAGCTCTGATGTGAACAGCTGAAATCCTCGATTTGCACACACACACAACAATCCACACACTTGTGTTTTAAATTGGAAGTTGCAGATTAATAGTTGTGTATTTGTAAAATGTCATTCACAAATACAAAGCGACAGACACACGTGTGCACGGCAAATTTGACTGCATCTTCGCTCTACAACCACAGGTCGGCACTCACAACCTCTCAGATTCGTCAGTACAACTACAAATCTCCCGCGCTCTGACTTTTGCTACACATCTCCCGCGATCTCTGTAGCAGAACTCATCTGTGCACTCGCAGATGCAGAGGCGTGAGCAGCGCTGGGCAGGGGAGGGGCGGGGCTGGTGTAAAGCTGTTTGATTGGCTGATGCCTGACCAATGAACAATGCCAGCAGCCAACAGGACTGAGGTGCAAAATAATCATTTCCCACGATTATTTTATTATTTAGGGTTTATTTAAACTCTTTTCTGAAGAGATTCTTGTTAAAAATAATAAATTCTGTGGAAATGTACATACCAGTAAAAGAGCAGCAAAGCCAGTTTATTGGCTAGAGCCAGCCAATGAGATGGGGCGTTTCTGTTTGTCAGGACACAGGGCAGCTCACATTGTTGGAGGCCTCGAGCAATCAGAGGGTAAGTTATGATTTTTAATAATTATCTATATGTTCAATACTGTTAGCTAAGCTAAGGACTGTGCTGGGTGCTTCTCTTGTTTGTTTCTTATATAAGAAAACAGTTATGAGTTATCTAGGAGCTGCTTTCAATCATGTTATATGGTTCTAAAGATACGATTTAACCCACATGAAATAAGAAGTTGTAATAGTATTTATAGTAAATAATAGTATGTTTTTGAACCATACTAACTATAGTAAACTGTATTATACAGTATATATTGCAGTATCTACAACTTTGTTAATGAATGCAACAGCACACTGTAGTATTAACTAGCATGAACTTTAATAAATTGAAGTATATTTACACACACACACACACACACATTCACACACACACACACACACACATTCACACACACACACACACACACACACACACATTAATAGCAATTAAAAATAACACCAGGCGTTTCAGTTTCTTACAGATCATACCGGTTTTTGTTATTATAACCTGCATCATATCTATCTATCCATCTATCTATTTACATGTTTGGGTACAGTGCGTCCTTTATATCACTTTTTTAATTATGAACGTTACTAACTATAGGTTATTTCTCAGTTTCCTGTAAGGATGGAGTGACAGGAGAGATCAGCATGTTTCAAGTCGATGAGGAACTCAGAGAAGCTGCATAGCTTGAATAGGATGTTATTTATGCTAAAGATGACATGATGATCCAGCTCATCTACAAACACTTCAAAATGATTCTGATCATTCAAGAGGAAGCCGACTTTATTTTCTCTTTTTACCTGCCAAGATGACTACAGATTTGAACAAAACACACACTCACCCACAAACACAACTTTTATTTTGATAATTGTTTAATGTAGTATTTTTACACTTTACTGTAAGGCAGGGGTGTCAAACTCAGTTCCTGAAGGGCCGTAACCCTGCACGTTTTTAGTTGCAACCTTGCTTCAACACACTTAAGTGAAAGTTTCAAACAAACCTGAAGGACTCAATTAGTTTGATCAGGTGTGTTTAATTAGGGTTAGAACTAAACTTTGCAAAGCTGCAGCCCTCCAGGAACTGAGTTTGACACCTGTTCTGTAAGTGAAATGTAATTTGTCAAATAAAATTTACAGTCCAAATAAGTGCAGTGCAAATGTCTAGTTACTTGTATTGAAATATTTCAGGGTTTTTCCTTGTTCATAATGAGATGGAGGTGGTAAATCCAACTTCATCATTACCCATCAAATGTTATCTCCTCTTTAATACTTTGCTCAAGCCTTAACTAATGGTCAGAAAGCAAGCCATTGTGTAAAGCTGGTTGATGCTCGCTGTAATAGAGAGAGATGATGACTGTTCAGCTTATGTTGCTTAACCCTGCAGATGAGATGCTCAAAGTGGACCCTCTGCCGAGCGATGGACACTGTCTCCCTCACCTAGTTGCTCTTCCTTTGAACACACATATCATGTTGAAGGATGCAAGTTGTGGACCTAAATCAGATGTAATGCATGTAGATGTAAAAATTAGAAAGAAATGAAACTGCTTTAAAATGTATTAGGTTTTACATATAAATATGTGTTCTTAACAGATTTGCTTCAACTTGATATTTGCATAATAAATGGCATTAGAATGTTTAGTTTTAAACAGATAGCTATATTTCAATTTTTTCAAATTTAAGCTATATATATATATATATATATATATATATATATATATATATATATATATATATACATACATGCATACATACATACATACATACAAGTATACTTCAATTTATTAAAGTTCATGCTAGTTAATACTACAGTGTGCTGTTGCATTCATTAACAAAGTTGTAGATACTGCAATATATACTGTATAATACAGTTTACTATAGTTAGTATGGTTCAAAAACATACTATTATTTACTATAAATACTATTACAACTTCTTATTTCATGTGGGTTGAATCGTATCTTTAGAACCATATAACATGATTGAAAGCAGCTCCTAGATAACTCATAACTGTTTTCTTATATAAGAAACAAACAAGAGAAGCACCCAGCACAGTCCTTAGCTTAGCTAACAGTATTGAACATATAGATAATTATTAAAAATCATAACTTACCCTCTGATTGCTCGAGGCCTCCAACAACGTGAGCTGCCCTGTGTCCTGACAAACAGAAACGCCCCATCTCATTGGCTGGCTCTAGCCAATAAACTGGCTTTGCTGCTCTTTTACTGGTATGTACATTTCCACAGAATTTATTATTTTTAACAAGAATCTCTTCAGAAAAGAGTTGAAATAAACCCTAAATAATAAAATAATCGTGGGAAATGATTATTTTGCACCTCAGTCCTGTTGGCTGCTGGCATTGTTCATTGGTCAGGCATCAGCCAATCAAACAGCTTTACACCAGCCCCGCCCCTCCCCTGCCCAGCGCTGCTCACGCCTCTGCATCTGCGAGTGCACAGATGAGTTCTGCTACAGAGATCGCGGGAGATGTGTAGCAAAAGTCAGAGCGCGGGAGATTTGTAGTTGTACTGACGAATCTGAGAGGTTGTGAGTGCCGACCTGTGGTTGTAGAGCGAAGATGCAGTCAAATTTGCCGTGCACACGTGTGTCTGTCACTTTGTATTTGTGAATGACATTTTACAAATACACAACTATTAATCTGCAACTTCCAATTTAAAACACAAGTGTGTGGATTGTTGTGTGTGTGTGCAAATCGAGGATTTCAGCTGTTCACATCAGAGCTGTAAGTGTACATTTCAACCTACACATACAAATATTATTATCACAAGTGCTCACATTTACATTTGCAAGCTCTCGAGTTACGCAACAGATTTACCTTCATAATGACGGGGGATCAGTGTTTGAGGGAACTGTCCCTTTAATTACTCGCCCCGTGTGAATGTTGTTATTATATTGATTTATTAATCTGCTGTTCATTAGTGACTCATTAGTGGACTGAATATTCTATTAGCATATTTGATATTTATATTTTTTAATACCTTCTTCTCTCTCCGCTGGCGGAAATCCCGCCTCACCCCTGTGATCTCGCGAGACTTGCGGCTCCACTAATTCTGGCGGAAGTAGTTCTCGAGTCTCTTTTCCGGCGGCCATCGTGACAGGTCGGCAGGGTAAGCGCAGATCGCCGGTGTTTTTATCTTATCCTCCGCCATCCGCGCGGATTTACGGGCATCGGTGTTTCAGACTCGCTCTGTACACCCGCAGCATGTGTGTGTTCGCTGTAAAACCGTTATTTCAGTCATACGACGCGATATGAGGCGCCATTGAGCCGCTAAAGTTCAGTCGCGCTCCCGACTCCACAAAACAGCGCCAAACGACATGAAAACACTCACACACACACACACACACACACACACACACTCTGATAATGTAAAAGCGCGCTTCAGCATTCAGAGATCACATCGTCACCATCCAACACAGCACTGATCAGAGAGAGAGAGAGTGTGTGTGTGTGTGTGTGGAGTGTTCAGGAAGAATAGCACAAACTGTGTGTGTGTATGAGAGACACGAGTCCGGGTCGAGCCCCGAAGTGAGTGTGTGTTTGAAACGCATGCTGTGTAACGGATTAAGTGTGTTTGTGTTGTGTATAGCTGTGTGTGAGAGAGAACATGTCTGCTAGTCTTGCACGTTTATTGTGTGTAGGTAGTTTAGGCTACAGCAAGTGTGTGTGAGAGAGAGAGAGAGAGAGAGAAGTGTTGTGGACTGTAATGCTAATGTGTACTACAGAAACGTGCCTTTGTTAGTCCTGCAGTGTGTGTGCATTGAGCACAAGTGTCCTGGATTCAACATGATACATTGGGTATCAAGTGTGTGTGTGTGTGTGTGAGGTGTTGTGTACAGTTGTGTGTGTGTGTGTGTGTGTGTATATATATATATATGAAATGAGGAACATGGCAGTATGGGACAGTTTTGACACACACACACACCGCTTCATTCTGACTAAGCCCGTGTCTGTGTGCTGAAATCTGCTGAACACTAACTCACTAATAACTTTAAAGTGAACACTAATATATCATGAGTTACTTCTGTTGAACAGCAAAGAAGATATTTTGAAGAATGCTGAAGATCAGTAACCATTGGCCTCCATTGTAGAAAACAAACACGATGGAAGTCAATGGTTACCGGTTTACAGCATTCTTCAAAATATCTTCAGTTCAACAAACTCATAAATGTGCAAAGCGAGTCAGATCTGAGGAGGTGTGTGTGTGAGCGAGCGCTCTGTTTAATAATGTTTAATTAATGTGTAATAGTTGTAGTGTGGACAGGGTCTGCCTGTTGTCTGCTTTTTCACAATGTTTACTAACAAGTGTAGAAAACCTGAACTCCATTTCCACCCTGCAGACTAGAAAAGTGCTGATTCACAAGTGATGCTGCATTACAGACGTCTGCATGTTATTTTGTGTTCTGAATGTGTTTATGGCGATTGATAAGCTGCTGTATAATCATAAACACAGGCACTGATGAACAATAATAAATTGACTATCACACATGACAGTTTCTAATTAAATATTGAACTAAAATGACTTAAGAGCGGCCCAGTGGACACTGAAAGAGGTTTAACCTTATATAATTATCATTAATGCTGGAATCATGATTTAATTGCATACAAAATAAGAGTTTGTTTTGACATAAGAAATGTTTTTATATATATCTATATCTTAATATGAGAGAGAAACATGCATAAAAACGACAATACCAGACGATTATTTGCGTAAACATTTGATTGATCTGTTCTGTCCATATTTGATATGTAAATATGAATACTTCTCATATGCATGTGTCTTTCTGTAAACATATTGAACCTTTATTTAGGATGAATAATCTCCGGCCGCTGTTAACATTAACATTGATTGTTGTGTTTCTCCGTCAGCCATCATGAAGCTGAACACGTTTGTGACGTCCTCCCGGCGCAAGAACCGTAAGCGCCACTTCAACGCGCCGTCCCACATCCGCAGGAAGATCATGTCGTCTCCACTGTCCAAAGAGCTGCGGCAGAAATACAACGTGCGCTCCATGCCCATCCGCAAGGACGACGAGGTCCAGGTCAGAGCGCGCGCTGGTGGTGTGCTGTGTGTATAGGGGTGTGTGTGTACATCAGTGTGTTTGACGCGTCTGTGTGTGCAGGTGGTTCGGGGACACTACAAAGGCCAGCAGATCGGTAAAGTGGTGCAGGTCTACAGGAAGAAGTACGTGATCTACATCGAGCGCGTGCAGCGGGAGAAGGCCAACGGAACCACAGTCCATGTGGGCATCCACCCCAGCAAGGTGTGTGTGTGTGTGTGTGTGTGTGTGTGTGTGTGTGTGTGTGTGTGTGTGTGTGTGTGTGTGTGTGTGTGTGTGTGTGTGTGTGTGTGTGTGTGTGTGTTATGCAGACGCATGTTTACACACGCAGCAGGAGATGTAGAGCATGTTTACACACAACACCAGAGTCACTCACTAGTACAGCTCTAGTCTGAGCGGTGTGTAAGGCAGTACAGTGAGGATGATGGAGCTGTGTGTGTGTGTGTGTGTGTGAGAGAGAGCCTGCGTTTACATCAGTGTGTCTGTTTAACCCTTTATAGCACAGGTGTCAAACTCAGCTCCTGTAGGGCCGCAGCTCTGCTCTAACCCTGATCCACACACAGCTGATCCACTCATCAAGGTGTTCCAGACTACCAGACACTCTTCAGCAGCTGAAGTTTGCAGAGCTGTGGCCCTCCAGGAGCTGAGTTTGAGACCCTGCGCTTCAGTGCACTTGGAGTCACCATGTAAAGCCCTGCTACTGTGGCACATGTAATCCTGCTGTTCTCTTATAACTCGATGATTATCCTTCAAGTCAGTCGAGATCAGCCTTCACTGAAGCTCTACAGCAGGGGTGTCAAACTCAATTCCTGGAGGGCCGCAGCTCTGCACAGTTTAGTTCCACCCCTGCTCCAATACACTTACCTGTAGGTTTCAAACAAGCCTGAAGGACTCAATTAGTCTGATCAGGTGTGTTTAATGAGGGTTGAACTAAACTGTGCAGAGCTGCGGCCCTCCAGGAACTGAGTTTGACACCTGTGCTCTACAGTACAGCAGATCAGGTTAGCTTCAGTCCTCAGATGTGCTCAGCATGAAGACAGCAGCTGATCTTCATCACACACACACTCTGACATTCAGTGAATGTGTGTTCCCTCATCAGTGTGCAGTATTTGAGCACTGCTCCTTCACTACAGTAAAAGCTGTTCATCATGTATGACACGGTCTACTCCTCTGCTGGAGCTACACAAGACCGTGTTCAGCAGCAGCAGATTATTGGTGTGTGTGTGTGTCTTAGCCTGATTAAAGATTATAATTCTCTCTCCACACTAGAGTTAAAAAAAAACAGCTTAATGCATAATTTGTGACCATTCTCACACACACACACACTCACTCGCTGGGCATGCGTGTATGTTGGCATCAGTGTGGATGGGAGGTGTGTAATCATAACACATTGTAAGCATTTTAAAGTGAAACACACCAGTGTAAACAGAGTTTGACCAATGCACAGCACATGCAGTAACCTGTGTGCATGCATCTGGAGTACACACACACACACACACACACACACACACACACACACTGGGCACTGAAAGTGTCTGCACTCTTTAATGATAGTAACATTATAAACAGGTTATCTGTGAGTCCTGTAAAGTCTTAAATCACCACGATTTAGCCTTAATTTAGGCTATTAAACAACAGTGAATATCGTGTGTGCGTGTGTGTGTGTGTGTGTGCGCGCGCGTGCGTGCCTGTTGCTCCTGCACAGTGTGTGAGCTCGTGCTCTGTTCAGTGTGGACCAGTGTCTGCAAGCTGGTGTGGAGATCTTCCTGTTCAGCTCTGCCAGTGTGTGTGTGTGTGTGTGTGTGTGATGGTTCAGTCAAACGGTGTGTAGTTGTTGTTGTTGTTGATTGGGGAATGCTGAGGTGTGTGTGCTGGATCAGACAGAAGTGTTGAGGAGATGATCTGTGCTGTGGTGTTCAGGTGTTCAGTCCTCTGCTGTGTGTTGTATAAGATGAGTTGAGAGTGTGCAGAACGCCTCTGTGCTCCTGTAACGTGATGTTTTTACACGCATGCGTCCTTCCCTTCATCAAATCATCATGTGACTCTGCTCACTCTAAATATTCTGTCATATGTAAAGTCAGGGCTTCTCCTGGATGAAGCTTTTATTTGCTCTGCATGTAGTACAGTGTAGTAAAGCATGTATTTTCCTCTTTACTCCCTGATCTGTGGCTCGAGCAGTGATGAGAGAGAGAGAGAGAGAGAGAGAGAGAGAGAGAGCGGTGTCTGTATCCTCCAGATCATCTTCAATGCTTTGCTTTTAGCACCTGCAGTCCAGACTCTGATCATCTGTATAAACAGTGCTGTGTTTGTGTACTGTTAACTTACGTGTGTGTGTGTGTGTGTGTGCGCGCAGGTTGTGATCACCAGGCTAAAGCTCGACAAGGATCGCAAGAAGATCCTGGAGCGCAAGGCCAAATCCAGACAGGACATCAAGGAGAAGGGCAAATACAAGGAGGAGACCATCGAGAAGATGCAGGAGTGAAGGAGCTGTTTTTGCTAACAATAAAAGACTGTAAAGTTCCACCTCTGTGCTCCTGTCGTCATTTAACAGAGAGAGAGAGAGAGCGGGGTTTCATTCCCAGAGTGCACTGCGCCAGAACACTCTCGGTTTGGATTTGACCCGTGTGTGTGTGTGTTCGCACTGACTCTGCTTTGGTGATGTTGCTGCTGTGTTTGCTCCATTCACTTCCATTATAATCACAGTTATTGACGGTGAAGTCCTGACAGCAGATCATCCTGTGTTCTGCACTGCTGCTGCTTCCCTCTTGGAAAGGAACAATCTGTCAGTTTTGCACTGTACTTATATCAATATATGGTAAAATATACAACTCATGATCAACAGTGAAATGACAGATCGACCCAGCAGGAGAAGCAGCAGCAGTCAGTAATGCAGGATGATCTGCTGTCAGGCCTTCACCGTCAATAACTGTGATTATAATGGAAGTGAATGGAGCAAACAGCAGACAACATAACCAAAGCAGAGTCAGTGTGAACAGTGTGTTGATGAGTTATGAAAACTCTCACAGCATTTCCCCATAATGTGTGTCAGAGTCCGATTATTCAGCAGAAATCACCACATTTACTGAAACACTGAGAAAGAGGAGGACAAATGAAGACTCGACATCAACCCAGAGTGGAGGAAAACAACCCAACAGCACACACGGGGTAATTAGAGTTCAGCTGTGTGTGTGTGTGTGTGTGTGTGTGTGCGCGCATTAATGTAGATATCTGAGAGTCTCTGTTTGAGCATCAGCTGGAGTCTCTGATGTCGTAAACACACAAATGTTTGCTCCTGTTTGGCCGCAGTGTGTGTGTCAGGGTTTATAAGGTCTTTTCGTGATCCAGGAGGGTTTGAGTTCTGCTTTCTGTGTGTTCAATATTCCTGCAAAAGCACAGTGAAGATGTCAAACTCTGGAGTCTTCCAGCACTCGCACTGATCAGTCTTCTGCGGTCGAGAGATGTTCAGGGCTGTGGAATGCGTCTCCTCACTCATTTATTTATTTACATGTTGGTCACGCCGTGTCTGTCAGCGTTGTTTAAATATTAGTCAAATGTAAACGCATGCCATTTAGAAATGGAGATTATTAATGTAAGACTGCACAGCCCTGTGTGAAAACAGGTTTCCTCAATAAGCCAGTGAAGGATTATCTATACAGCACCTTTCCCAGACATCGAGTCACCAAGTGCTGTACACTGAGAGAAAACAAGTAAAAGAACACATCGATAAAAGAAAACGAGTCAAAAATCCAAATGCAGGAACACTCACGCTGTTCATTAAAAACAGATCTGGCGTCAGCTCCTGCAGTCCAGCGCTCTGAGTCTGGACCAGGGGTGGGCAATCTCGGTCCTGGAGGGCCGGTGTCCTGCACAGTTTAGCTCCAACCCTAATCAAACACACCTGCTTATAGATTTCTTGTGATCTTGAAGACACTGATTAGCTTGTTCAGGTGTGTTAGACTAGTGTGAGGGACACCGGCCCTCGAGGATCAAGTTTGCCCATCCCTGGTCTGGACTCATCTCTGCAGAACCACTGCCAGAACCGAAGGTCGAGCCACAGCATCTCGATTGGGTTTAGGTCAGGACTTTGAGTAGGCCACTCTAAAGGCTTCAGTTGTGGATATTGAAGTGATTTTCTGTTTTCATCAGGCGGTTCACCCACTCATGAACATCCCCCGAGTGTTTGTAAACCTTGATGAGTTTCTTCTGTTGAACAGAAAACGAGATGCTCTGAAAACCTCTGGAGAACAGCAGATAATCAGAGGAACACGAGCGGCTTCCAGCATTCTTCAGGAGATCTGTGTTCAGAAGAATGCTCTGAGTAAATGAGGGAACACTGAGTGAAGTGCTCCTTTACAAGAGGATGCAGGAGGTCACGTGCTCTGCTCTGTTGTAGACTGTATTTGGAGTGAGGAGTGCCAGTGCTGTTCCTCTTCTGCTCTACAGAACCGCACTAATAACTCTCATTAATGCAGGCAGTTCATTTCAATAATTAATGGCAGATTAATGAAGCTGTGAGTTTCACTACAGTGGATTAAACACACTCCGGTCTCACATTAATCTACTGAAAACAGCAGTGTGTGTGTGTGTGTGTGTGTGTGTGTGTGTTTATATATGACTAAGTTATTGTTTCTTTCTCGCTGTTCTGTGTAGATGTATGTGCACATGTGTATTTTTATGTGCAGATTTTTTTGATTTTCAACAGGGCAAGTATGAATCACGTATAGTGTAACGGGTTTGGACATTTTTATTTCATAATTTAAAATCAGTTAATGTTAAATAAAGCACAAAGTTCAGTCACTTCCCTTCAGTTTAGTCCCTTTATTCATCACAGTTCACCACAGTGGAATGAACTGCCAACTATTATAGGAACAAAATGTTCCTATATTTTACGCAACGGATGCCCTTTCAGCTGCAACCCAGTGCTGGGAAACCATTCACACTCATACACTACGGCCAGTGTAGTTGATCAGTTCCCCTATAGCGCATGTGTTTGGACTGTGGGGAAAACCGGAGCACCCGGAAGAAACCCACACCAACACGGGGAGAACATGCAAACTCCACACAGAAACACCGACTCACTCAGCCAATGCTCGAACCAGCGAACTGAGTGCTGTGAGGCCACAGTGCTAACCACTGAGTTACTGTGTCGCCTAATTTTATAAGTTTATCTGCTTTATTAATAGTAAGATGTGATTTCATTAGACTACCGTTCCAGGGCTTGTTTAAGTGTGTGTGAGTGTGTGTGAGAGAGAGAGAAGAGGAAGAGCCAGGCGGCAGTCACGTGTCTTCTCTCTCCAGCGTCACATGATCGTCAGCGTCGGAAACTGAACTTCTCGAAGTTTGTCGTGTAGTGGATAAGTTATTAATCTGAACACCGGAAGATTACCGATGGCCGTCTCCACGTTTGGGATCGCGATCGCGGTGATGACCCTGCTGTGGGGTCTGGTCGGCGGAGTGATCCCATGGTTCATCCCGAAAGGAGCAAACCGCGGGTCAGACACACTAACATGAGCATTTCCCCACAGCTCAGCTCGCCTAACACACAGCACTCTGCTTTATTATTAACCTCTGCTATTATTCACCTGCTGTAGTCGAGTTTATTCCTGTTTTACCGGCTTTAGTCATGTTTTCACCGTGTTTTAGTGCTGATTTTCTACGTTTTATTTGTGTTTTTCTTCTACATGATCGAGTTTTACCTCAGTGATTCCTGTTCCGCTCTATTTCGCCGTATTACTCCAGTTTTTTCTTTATTTGAACCTTTTACCTTCATTAGTTTACCTTAATTATTCCTGTTTATATGTCCTTTACCGTGCTTTACCTCGGTTTAATTCCTGTTTAGTGTCTGCTGCTGTGTTTCCTCTATTGTTGAGGAGTTTATAGACTGACCCTCCTCCTCCTCTCTGTGCTTCATCATAGTGAAGTTCACTAGTTTGACAGTGAATGTGTTCAGTGGTTGTGTTTAGAGCAGAAATAACCCAGTGCTGATGTGTATGAGTGATCATCTGACACACACTGATTAATAATGCAGCGCGTGTGTGTGTGTGTGTGTGTGTGTGTGTGTGTGTGTGTGTGTGTGTGTGTGTGTGTGTTCTCCAGGGTGATTGTGACGATGCTGGTTCTGACTGCTGTCTGCTGTTATCTCTTGTAAGTAGACTGATCTGTTCATTATATTCACCTATAGAGGTCTGTCAGCTGTACTGTAGTGAATATGAGTGCACTGTGCTGAAGTAGAGCTGCTGAAGGTCAAACTCATTATTGATCAGCGCAGTATTGATCAGAGCAGCTGTTATCAGGTCAGTGTGTGCTTATCTGATGATGATGATGATGAGCATAACGGCAGTGTTTGTCTCCTGGTGTGTGTGTGTGTGTGTGTGTTTTAACTGAGCTCTGGTCTGTTGTGTGTGCATTATTCATCAGATATCAGCTGTGTGTGTGTGTGTGTGTGTGTGTGTCCTCTGTGGGCCTGGTGGTGGCGCTGTGGTGAGTGTTTGAGTGTCCTGATCTTCACCTGTACTCTTCCTCTTCCTCCAGCTGGCTGATAGCGATCCTCTCTCAGCTCAATCCTCTGTTCGGGCCGGTGCTGAAGAACGACACCATCTGGTACCTGTACTACCACTGGCCCTGAACACCCGTCGCCACGGTAACACACCCACAGCATCATCATCATCACATTTAACCAATGAGCAGAGTAAGATCTGGATGTTTCCACAGGTGGTGTGTAGAGTAGTGTCTAGTGTATGTTCACGATGGCGTATTATTGCCATGCTAAAAGATCTAAGATCACCAGATTTAAGTCTTAATATTTAGATAATAAAGTTTAAATATTCTGAGAAATGTTCAGGAATAAAGTCATAGTTATACGAGAATAAATCAAAATATTATGGCAAAAGTTGAAATATTACAGAACAAAGTCAAAATATTGTGAGAAATGTTAGGAGAGTAGAGTGGATATATTAGAGAATAAACTCAGCCATTTCGCTCGGTGTTGTTTCCTCAAAATATTGAAACATAATCTGACTATAATACTGTGTGTGTGTGTGTGTGTGTGTGTATGTGTATATATATATATATTTAATACTATAATATTACTTTGGCTTATAATATTTAGACTTTTTATTTTTGTAATATTTTAAGTTTATTTTCATAATATTTTTGACTTTATTTTCGTATTATTTCAACATTATTTTCATATTTAAAAAAATGTCGTATTTAGAAATTTTTCTCTCAATATTTTGAGTTTATTTTCATAATATTTTGACTATCCTTGTATTACTACAACTTTTCATATTTCAACATTATTTTCGTAATTTATTTTTAAATATTTCGATATTATTCTCATATTTAGACATTTTTGTAATATTTAAACTTTTTTTCATAATACTTAGACATTATTCTCATAATATTTAGACATTATTTCCATAATATTTTGAGTTTATTTTCTTAATATTTATAATATCCTTGTATTACTACAACTTTTTGTAATATAAAACTTTTTGATAAAATTATAATATTTAAACTTTATTTTTGTAATATTTCAACTTGTGTGTGTGTGTATATATACACACACATACATAATAAAATATAATAATACTTAAATATTTGAGTTTATTTTCATATTTGTAATATCCTTGTTTTACTACTTTTAATGTAATATTAGTATTTTCATAACATTTTTATAATATTTAAACTTTATTTTTGTAGTATTTACTTTATAATATTTCAAGTTTTTGTATTATTTTGACTTTATCCTTGTATTACTACAACTTTTTGTAATATTTACTTTTTGTAATATTTTTATAATATTTAGACTTTCTAATATTTCAACATTATTCTCATATTTCGACTTTATTCTCTCAATATTTCAACTTTATTTTCGTAATATTTTAAGTTTATTTTCGTCTTCATTTGTGCAGTATTTTCACAGAATTTCTACTTTATTTTTGTAGCATTTCAACATTATTCTCATATTTCAACTATTTTCTCTGAATATTTTGATTTTATTCTTGCATCACTGCAACTTTAATCTCACATCACTACAACTTCTCACAGTATTTTTACTTTATTCTTGTCTCTCATTTTGACTTGACGCCTGAAGTATTACAACTTTAATCATGCAATCTTTGGTTTTTATTGGTTTACTGTGGCACTGATGTTGGCGCTGTGGTAAATCTTCTATGAGGATGGTCAATATAATGTTAATGTAATTATTACATCGTGTGCCTTCACTCCACTCCTGATCATGGAGCAGTCCAGCAGCCAAATCAGATGAAGCGTCAGTTTATTAGACACACAGCTTATTATTATTTTACTTGTGAATTAATTAGAAGAAAACAAACCATGTACATGTAGAGACTGCATCAAGATACTGATGAAGGAAAGATGATGGAGTGATCAGAGAGAAAGACGACAAAATCAATCCATCAAACGGTGCATATTAGGAGTGTAGAGCTCAGCACATCAGCCCCTAACCCTCATCATCATCATCATCATCATCATCACTGATGGGCACAGGCAGCAGAGTCAGGCTCATGCAGATGTGTGCATTTCAGAACTGACTCAGGATCAGTGTAGAGTCCGTCACGTCTTCACTGTCAGCATCCTCTACAGTATTCTGAATGAGCCGTCAATATTCAGACATTTCATTTACACCTCTGTGAAGTGTGGAAGAGCTTCCTGTTTTATTTCCATCATGGGGTATTAGCGACATGCTAACAGGTCTACGAGAACTGGATTAAAGTCATAATATATAGAGAATAAAGTCTTAATATGTGATTAAAGTTAACTTAATTTTATTCTCCAAATGTTTATGTTCAGAGAATTAAGCCGTAGTGATCGAATAAAGCAAAATATTATAGGAAAAGTAGAAATGTTAGAATGAGTGGATATATTAGAGAATAAACTCAAATATTGCAAACATAATCTCATTACTGCGGCTTCATTCTCATAATATCTCGACTCTTTTCCTGTAATATTTTGACTGTTTTCTTATGTTTTGATTGTGGATATTTTGGGATTATTTTTAAACATTGATTATTTTATTTTTTAAATCAATAGTAAAGTTGTTTCTCTTCTTCTTCTGTGCATTATTCCTGGTGTTTAATGTCTCTTTATTGTAATAAACTGTACTCCGGCTGCGTCTACACTAATGCACACACATCTGCCCGCTGTGCTGGTCTGCGAGTGCTCGTGTCCACACTCTGCTCTTCACGTCTCTCCATCACCCACACTGAAGGCCTCTGGTTGATGCACGGAGCAGCACACAGACGCAGACGCTTCACCTGCTCATGCCCACTGCTGCTGACCGACTCTCTCAAACAGTGTGTGTGTGTGTGTGTGTGTGTGTGTGCTCTGATCTGAACAACAGCTCCAGCAAACACTGCCTGAGCGCTGAACAGAGGCCATACACACACACACCTACACACACACACACACACACACACACACACACACACAGCACAGTGTCCTCCAGCATGTCAGCTGGATCAGTCACATGACTGAAACGGTCATGGTTTCCCACCCTGAACACCACACCTTAATCCCCCTTGGACAGTGCTTACAACGAGAGGCTTTCCTGTCCTGACGCGCGTCTCGGTGTGGAGTATGAGTGTGGACACGGCCTCAGCACCGCAGCACTGGCATTAATCTGACAGATCTGCTTGTGTAACATGTTGAGCGCTGGAGGATGGTCCAGTAACAGCGGGGTCTGTGTTGCAGGTGCTGAAGCCTGTATATCTGCCAAAGGAGCTGATCAGGAGCCTCCGGCCTGATCCCCAGCTGATTCTCTCCAGACGCCTGCGTGTGCCTCTGTGTGTGTGTGTGTGTGTGTGTGTGTGTGTGTGTTCTGTATTTATATGATCTGAGCTTCAGGAATATTGTCTGATTAAAGGCGCAGCGCACACTCTGTTGAACACCGCTCACTCAGCTGTGTCTGATCCATCATGAGCTTCTGCTGAACACACCAGCGTCTACAGCACGATCAGCCGTTCAGCAGTGTGTCTGCATGTGTGTTCAACACAACTGTGAGGAGATGATGATGATGGAGGAGTGCTCATTTCTGGGTGTACTGCGCCTTTAACGTGTGTGTGTGTGTGTGTGTGTGTGTGTGCGCAGCTGATCAAAGTGTTGATTTATATGTAAATGTGTGCTTTAATTGAGAAATAAACAGACGGAGGATCATGACTGCACATTTATTGAGTGTGTGTGTATCATGATTGTTGATTTGAGTGTTCTGAGCAGTGTGTGTGTGTGTGTGTGTGTGTGTGTGTGTGTGTGTGTCATGATTGTTGATCTACTGACTGTTCTGAGCAGTGTGTGTGTGTGTGCGTGTGTGTGTGTGTGTGTGTGAGATCTACTGACTGTTCTGAGCAGTGTGTGTGTGTGTGTGTGTGATTTATTGACTGTTCTGAGCAGTGTGTGTGTGTGTGTGTGTGGGTATGCGCGGCCGGCTCCGGGTGCACTGGCACTGCTCTCGGCTGGACTCCTGACACTCTTCACAGCAGGCGGTCAGACCACACACGGCAGGACACACACGACAGCAGCAGCTGACCACACACACCTGTAGAGCAGCGCACGTACTGATCCCACGGCTGAGAGCAGTACCGACACACTGCGGAGAGAGAGAGAGAGACATCACACACACACACACCTGTGCTGCATGACCAACACACACCTGTACTGGACAGAACACACACCTGAGATGACGTCCTGGTTGTAGGCGATGGCGTAGCGCTCGTCGAACACGAAGAGTTTACCGCGGTAGAATCCGTCAGGGAACTGCTCCAGGTACTTATGAACACCTCCCTTCAGCTGGTACACCTCCTTACAGACGCGCTACACACACACACACACACACACAGATGCGGTGTTCAGATCGAAGATTATCTGTGTGTGTGTGTGTGTTTAAAGCAGTGCTCAACCCTGTTCCTGAGATCTGCAGCCCTCATCAACACAACTAAACCAGCTCAGCAGGGTGTGTGTGTGTGTGTGTGTGTGTGTGTGTGTGTGTGTGTGTGTGTGTGTGTGTGTGTGTGTGTGTGTGTGTGTGCGCGCGTGTGTGTGTGTGTGCGCGTGTGTGTGTTGAACTCACCTTGGAGCGCAGGTACGCAGAGCCGCGTTCGCAGCGGATGCCGCCGGTGCAGTACATCAGAACCCTCTTGTCCCGAAACAGATCCAGGTTCTGGTCCACGTAATCAGGGAAGTAGCTGAACTTGCGGATATCTGGAGCCACACAGCAGCTGAACTGACCCTGGAACAGACGGAGTGTGTCATCAGAGATCAGTGTATGGAGACGGCACTCGGACACCTCTGCTCCCTGATCTCATCTAAATTACACACGTGGACCACAGGCCAATCAGAACACAGCAGACTGCTGCGTGACTCACAGGCCACGCCCTCATCATTAGCATGTCCTTTAGGTCGTTCATCCAGAGCTGATGAGCAGCCGTCATCAGGAGAACACGGACTGACATGCAGATCAGGGTCATTCATATTTGCCTCAGGCTGCGTCTGATGAGCCAGGGCGTTTCCCATCACCGTGCTCAGGTCGCCTCTTAGGTCTTATTCAGTTTATATTTCACTCACTGTGTGCAGGTGGGACTTTTATTTTGAAAACGGGAGACTCAGACTGTTCACTGTGTCACTGAGCAATGAGAGATGTTCACACACACAGAATGCAGGATATACAGATTCTACAGCTCAGCTCCACCCTGAAGCTGTGCTTAATGAGCTATTGTGTTCATTTATGGTGTTTATTGTGAGATTATTCAACAAACGCATGTAGTAATATAGAAAAGTAATATAGAAAAGTAGTAGTATTATGTAGTAATAATAATAATAATAATTATTATGTAGATGCTGAACAGTGTCGGACCATCAGCTCAAAATCTCTTTAATAATCACTTTGTGTGTGTGTGTGTGTGTGTGTGTGTGTCACCGTACAACACTCACAATTTTGCTCTCGTAGAAGTTCCTGCAGTCCAGCAGTATGGTGTCGGCCTGCAGCTCCGGGCTCTCCACCAGCGCCTGCACCTCCCGGTGGAACTCCTGCGGCTCCAGGTGGATCCCTGAGGACACATTTACTGCGGTAACACACAGCCACTGGCCACAGAACACACACATCACACACTCAACACTGCTCAGAGCTGCAGGAGTGTACTCCTGCCTAAATTAAACACGATTAAACAGAATTAAATGAAGTATACACTAACCTGAGCGTTATTCACACACTAGATGGCGCTATAACACAGCAGTGAGACAGATGAGCAGCATGCATGAGTGAGTGTGTGTGTGTGT